CTCCCCTGATTGGGAGTGCATCTGCTTCAGACCTCAGGAGCCTGAAGAGAGCTGGCAGAGTTTGTATCTTCTCTGATAATGACTTTTCTTAAATAACGTTCAGGGCATAACTCTGCTCCCAAGTTCACCATTCAGGTATTTCCTCTGTGAGGGCTGCATGAACTCTGCCAGCTGTTGTCATGGGAGTGACTAGATCTCAGCCCCGGAGGTCTGGGGGAGGGGACATGTCCTTTCAAGTGTCAGACTGTCTGACAAGAAATCCCTTGCCTGCGCTGTGAGACTCACCCATAACTCTTTCACATTCCACTGAGTGCAGTCCTCACCCGATTTGCTCTATACTTCCTGGATTGGTTCTGTAGTCTGTTGGTTCCTAATAATTGTGACAGTTCTCTCCTAGTACCCAAGACAGTCCTCTCCTTGTACCTGATACAGTCCTATCTTCTACCTGAGAGGGTCCTCTCCTAATACTTGAGAGGGTCCTCGCCTTTTACCCGAGACAGTCCTTGTCTGGTACTCAAGAGGGTCCTCTCCTAGTACTTGAGATGGTCCTCATTTGGTACCCAAGACGACCCTCTCCTGGTACCGGAGATGGTCCTCATCTAGTACCTGAGAGGGTCCTCTCCTAATACGTGAGAGGGCCCTCCTAGTACCTGAGACAGTCCTCTCCTAGTACTTGAGAGGGACCTCATCTGGTACCCACGACGGTTCTCTCCTGGGACCCGAGACGATCCTCTCCTGGTATCTGAGAGGGTCCTCTCCTGGTACCCGAAACAGTACTTTCCTGGTGCCTCAGACGACCCCTTCCAACACAAACATAATATACACACATTACATAAATCAGACACATGCCACAAACAGCCACACGCATGCACAGCACACATCTCACATACCACACATATGTGCACACTTACTACATACACATCGTACACCAGAGGGAAGTCCCCTCTGAGTATATCACACGTTTATATACCTGTCACATGCATGCGCAACATACTTATAACACAGATCCACAATCTGTGTCACGCTTACATGCCTCACCTGTGCACACAGAGATGCACCCCGTAGAAATGTCACTCTGTCTTGGTCAGCCCATATCAAGGGTTGTCATAGCAGGGGACCTGTATTTGGGCAGAGGTTCCTGGGTGTGAGTGGAGCTGGCCTCCCAAGTCCCTGGCTATGGGCAGAGTATACCCATTTCAGGTGTCACCGTATTGGATGACCTCTCTGAGGGAGGGCAGGGGTGAGTGAGTTGAGTTGTGGTGGCTGTGGGCAGGGTGATTAAATTGGAGGTGACCGTGTCTGTTACCCATGTCAAGGGTCACCACGTCAGGATGAGTCTGTTGGTGGTAACTGTGTTCAGAATTACTGTGTCAGGGCTTACCTGTGTTGCGGTGACCATATCAGTTCAGGGTGATTGTGTTAGGGTGACTGGAGCGACCCATGTTGAATTAACCTGTGTCAAGGTTGACCACAATAGAGTGGCCATTTAAAGAATCATAATAATGTCAGAGAGATGGTGTCCAAGTGACAAAATTAGGGTGACCCAAGTTTGAATGGCCTCTTTAGGGTAACTGCATGAGTTGGGGGTGACTGTATCAGAGTAACTAAGTTGGTTGGGAGTGATGGTGTTAGGGAGTGAACATGTTATGGGAAGACTGTGTTGGATGACCATGTCGATTGGGAGTTGTCATATCTGGGGAACATGTGATAGAAGCTGACCATTTTGGGTCACTATGTCGAGGTGACCCATGTCAACATTGAATGTCCTTCGAGTGCAGGTGGCTGTGGCCATAAGGGAGTTCACTGAGTCCCTTCAGGAGAAGTCTTGTGTGTTAGGAGGGAGCAGCTTCTGGGTGTGGGTGCAAAGCTCTCTAAGGGAGGTGTTCTGAGCACTGGCTGCTGTCATTCATCCTTATCTCTGTCGGGATTGATTTGTCTGGTGGACCCGTAAATTGGGTCTCTGCAGTCAGTATCTAGCTTCCCCTCTGGCTACACAGTTGCCAAGCAGTCTCTCCTGGGTGGCCGTGCTAACATGCAGGCTTGGGGACCCCAGCACGGCTGTGGTCCTGGGTTTACTCGATGTTGACCCTCTCGAGCTGCCATAGCCCATTAGCGCTGACAGCCTTTGGGCCACGAACGGGTTCCCATTAGTGCGGGGAGAGTGTGAGCCTCAGGGTGAGATGGGAAATTTTAGGGAGAGCCTTGTGTCTCTGCTGTGATTCAGCCTGGTCTGCCCACCCTTCTTGTGTCCTGCAGGCTCAGGGGCTCCTCACTGTGGTGTCACTCTCTTGGCTCAGGAGCCAAAAGGCCTCTCATTCTACCAGGAAAGGGAGGGACTCTTGTGACCATGAACCTTGTTTTCTGGGCCTCTAGCAGTCTGTAGGCAACTAGAGTTTTGCTGGCCTGATGGTAAGGAGTCGTGCTGCCAACCCAAAGGGACGTGACAGGAATATACTGGTGGTTCCACTGAGGAAAGATGGGCAGTTTTCTCCTCTGCAGTTTACAGCCTCTGAAAACCTGTTGGAGGGTCAGCTGTGATGCGAACTCTGGCACGTATGACACCGGTAACCCACAGCAACCTGTGCTGCTGACGGAGAGGCCTCTGGTTCTGGAGAATAGTGATGGAAGTCTCGTTCCATGAACAGCTTTTCATTGTCATTGGGTCAGTTAAAATCAACCTACAGCTGACACTCTGGCCGACTTTCAGAGTCTGTAAATAACACAAAAGTAGATTTCTCCTGCAGAGTAACTGGTGGATTTGAGTCTTCTGCCTTTGTGTTGGCAGTGTAACTCCTTACCCAGTGGGCAGCCACACCACTGGAAACCTAGTGGAGGGCGGTGAGTCAGTACCGACTGCATGGCGGTGAGTGTGAGTTTTCAAGATATTTTAGACATAGCACCAGGGTTAAAGTCCATGTTAGAGACGGACCCGGGGAGTGTGGGGAGTACAGGGTTCTAGTCCTTGTTAGAAGTGGATCTCTGGGTGTGTGGGGTACAGGGTACAGGTTCTAGTCCATGTTAGAGATGAATTCCGGATGTGTGGGGTACTGGGTTCCAGTCCATGTTAGAGGTGAATCTTGGGTGTGTGGAGTACAGAAGTTCTTTCTTTTCTGGATCTAGGTTCTGGACGTGCTCCGTCTGTTGTGCGTCCTGGTTGTGCAGTGATGGTCTCCTGCTCTGTGGGGTGAAAGTGTGGTCTCCTACAGGTCTGCAGAGATGCTGCTGTGTCTTGAGGTCCATGCTGTGAGTGGTTGCTATCCTTCACGGTGTGTTGGTCTGGGTGTTTGCCATGACTGCACTCTGAACGGGCTTTTTTCTAAGGGAGTCCCTCCTATCTATAAAGAAAGAGCCTTATGATGAATGGAGAGGACGATGGAGAGGGCTAGGGCTGTGAGGTCCCCTTCACCCACTTGGAGGGGCCAGGGGTTCCACATGGGGTCCCTAACATGCATCTGGACGGGTCAGGCTGGGTGACCTCAGGGCTGTGGGAAGGGACGTGGGTTGAGCCCTTCCTCCCTCAGGCCCTGCGGCTCTGTTGTCCTCTGAGCCTTCCCTGCCCTGCCCCCGGGGTATGCTCTGAACTGTGGTGCTCAGTGCACTGTTGGTAGCTTCATGCCATTGAGTGAGGCGCAGCTCCGAGCTGACTCTTAGCAGGTTTGCAGGGGCTGTAAACCTCACAGAAGAAGGTTGCCCCTATTTCTCCTATGGAATAGCTAGTGGACTTGAATTGTTTGCCTTTGAGTTGGCAGTGTGACTCTGTACCTTTAGGCCGCCAGCTCTGTGTATGTCTTTAAGGGAATTTAGGGGTTATACTATTTTACTAGAGATCATCACTTCATGAACATGAAACAAACTGGACAGAACCAGTTGATCTTTCTGTGTATTGTCTGGAGAATCAGGGACAGCGGCGTGCTACAGTGTTACGTGCATTTCTGTGTCTATGGATCTGACTGTTTAAAAGGAGAAACCCCCACACGAAACAGCTCTGTTTGCATTTTTGCCTGTCTGTCCGTCTGTGTAGGTGGGAACATGGACGTACAGAGAGATTCCTTTCTCACACCCCTCACACTTTGCTCACATCTGCCCTGGAGTGGAGCAGTTTGGTTTCTGACCAGGGTGGCCACCGTAGGGCTGTAGGCTTTCCTGATGGATGCACTGCCTACGTGTTGAACGTTGCAGTCACCAGGCAGGACTGACTGCTCAGGCGCCGGTGAGGCCTTGACAACATGCCAGTCAGGCTGCCCTAGAACTAAGCTCCCTCACACATTCTAAACTGTTCATAAATGGAATACAGAGATTTTATTTATTTTTTTTTTCAAATATGAAATGCTTCATGAATTTGTGTGTCATCTTTGCGTGGGGGCCATGCTAATCTCTGTATCGTTCCAGTTTTAGTATATGAATTGCCAAAGTGACCACCACACCGTCTTTCTTAAAAGTTTCTCTTCTCTTTATGTCAAAAATCATGTGTCCTTCATCAGTTCATTCTGTGTCTTCTGTGGTGCTGGAACTTGTGTGCTCTTGGTTCTTTAATACCCTGCCAGGCCTGCCTCTTACAGGACCTGGACAGCTGTCAGTCTTAGACTGTCCTGTGAGCCCGTGCGGGGACCGTCACGTCCTGCCAGAGATCCACTCACTCTTCCCGGAGCTTGCTAGGGTGATGGGGGGAGCTCCAACTGCAAGTCCAGGGCTGTCCCCTTGTGAGCCCAGGGCTGCCCCCTTGGGCTCAGTTTGGGGTGCTGTTGCTGCCCACACTCACCCCAGGAACAGGATGCTCCTGGACCAGAGCCTACCATTGTCTCTGTGTCTGCCCACATTGGGGGGCTTGTTTTATGTTGTTACCTGACAGAGTGATGTCTGTCTTTAGGGTGCGCTTCCGCAGGATGGGGTGCCTATGATTGGAGTTTGTGTTCCACATTGTGGAAGCAGATGGGTTGGTGCTGGTGTCCACACGGTTCTTTGTAGGCAGCCTCTCTCCTCACAACCCCTCTCGCACACAGTTGTAGCTGTGATCCAGAGGGCGCTGACCTACGATGAGAAGCGAGGAGCCTGCAGCGTGGGTGCCAACGTCCGGGATGCGGCCTGCTACGTGTGCTGGGCCTTTGCACGCGCCTATGAGCCAGCGGAGCTTCGGCCCTTTGTGGCTGAGATCTCCAGGTAAGGTCAGCTGGATGGCCTGTGTGTGAGGAGCAATCAGCCTGGTCCTTCCCCACGGCCACGAGAGCCATTGTCCCTGGATATCCCCTTTGTGACTGGCATCCTCTTGACAGTGACCAGCCAGGAGCAATTAGGGGAAACTGGGAGGCTGGGTGGCTGGGTGTCAACTGGCCAACAGAGGAAGGTGACTGGTGGCAACTGGGGCACTGTGGAAAAGTGGGGACAGGTCACTTGGGTCTGGCTGCTGAGAGTGCCTCTTAACTATCTACAGCGTGAGAACGTTTGAAAACTTTTTATTGTGATTTCAGTGAGAGCTTATAGAGCATATTTGTTTTACATCCAATAACTCCTCCACATTTTGACTTGTGACATTGATTGCTGTCCTTATAACCTGACAGCATGCTGGCTACTCCTTCCCTGGGATTCCTGTCCATACCCCTCCTTTCTATTCCATCTGTGCCTCTGGGGGTTTTCCTGTTCAGATGGCACTGCTCTGCTCTTGTGTGGTGTGACTTTTGACTGGTTGACTGTTCCAAGCAGTGGCCTTCTCTGGTGTTAGTGATCACTTTAAGTGTCTGTCCACTGTTCGGGTGAAAGTCGGGTTGCACTATGATCATTTCAGGCTTGATGGTGACTAAGGGCCATAGCATTGGGGGTTTTACCAGTCTTTATCAAACAAATGAGCTCAGGTAGCTTAGTGGTAAGGAGTTGGACTGCCATCCTAAACCTGTGAGGTTTGAATTCACCAGCTGCTCCATAGAAGAAAGATGAGCAGTTCCCTCCTGTGTGATTTACTGCCTCTGAAATCCTGCTGGAGGGTCAGCTATGAGTCAGTCCTGACTTGATAGTACATAACAACAATTAAACAAGGGAGCCTAGTCTTTCTTAGGATTGTGAGGTTTGTCCTCCATTTTTGCTCCACGCTACCACAGACTTTCTCCTTTGAGGGTAGTCAGCAGTGCTAACTGGTACTGTCTGGTTATTCTGGTCTCTGTGTCATGGAGACAAGAGTCCATGTGGCCATTAGGCCTTGGAGCTAACAGACTTCGATCCCTTCACTCTCCTTTTCTCTAGTCAACAGACACCAAGAGTTACACCCTAGATGACTGCTTGTCAGTTTTTAAGGTTTTAGTTATTCTGCAGCCAAGTAGGATGTAGTATATAGCCTTTGTAGACTGTGTTATGACAGTTGATCTTGGTGTCCCCCTGAACAATGATCCTTCTGAGCGCCAGAAACTCATTCCACAAGGTCTTTGGTTGTGGTGGTTGTTATGTACTGTCGAATCAACTCTAGTTCATACGGACCTTAACAACAACTAACTCTGAACCCTGCCCTATCCTGAGCCAACTTCAGCATCTCTGACACACTCGACCCATTGCCTCATTGTGTCACTCCATCTCATGTAAGGTCTTCCTCTCCTGCACTGACCTTACACCTTTCCAAGGATGGTAGCCTTCTTCAATGACTAATCCCTCCTGAAAACAAGCCCAGAGTACGTGAGACTGAATTTCAAAATCCTTGTCTGCAAGGAGCATGGTTTCATCCTCTCCAGGACAGACCTGTTTTCTTCACAATCCATTGTATGTTCAGTACTCTTCTGTAGCACCATGACCTAAAGGCTGTCTTCTGTCATTCTTAGTTTTTTGTTAGCTCTCAGGTACATAGCAAGCAATTGAGAACACCATGGCTTGGATCAGGAACAACTTAGTTTTTAGACTGACATCATTGCTCTTCAGCACTCTGGAGAGGTCTTTGACAGCAGGTTTTTTCTAGTGCAACTCATCTTTTGATTTCTTCGCTGCTGGTGCCAAGGTGCCAAGGATGTTTGTTGTGGATCTGAGAAAGATGAAATTGTTAAGAGCTTCTTTTCTCCATTTATCATGAAGTTGTCATTTGGCTCCGTGGTGAGGATATTGTTTTCTTGGTATTGAGAATAGAGTCCATATTGAAGGCTGTAGTCCTTGATTTGCAAATGCTTCAAGTCCTCCTCAGTTTTGGCAAGCAAGGTTGTGTCATCCACAAACACAAATTTTTATTTTAGTAAAAATTTTTAATTTTAATTGTGATTTTAACAAAAATTTACAGAAAAATTGGGTTTTCATTCATTCATTGTTGCATATTTTATTCCTTCCCCTTCTTCTTCCCTTTCCCTCCCCCAGTTCATTCTTTAAAAAAAAATTCATTCATTGTTGCACACGAACACACATTGTTGATGAGTCTTCCTCTAATCCTGATGCCAAGTTCTTCATCATAAAGTCCAGCTTCTTGAATGATATTCAGCATATAAATTCAAAAGATACAGAGAAGTACATCTATGATGCACTTCTTTCTTAATTTTGAACCATTCATACTCTTTGGACAGTGGCTTTTTGATCTAGGTATAGATTTTACAGGAGCGCAATCAAGTGTTCTGGAATGGTTAAGAAATTTTCATAATGTGGCCCATTTGCTCTGCCATACACAAGATCTGCTTATGGCACATTCAAGTGTGTACGTTAGACATACCACCTGGCAGACAGTGTGGTGGCAGGTGTTGTGATTCGTCTGTGTGTTCCAGCTGACCCTGCCCATATGCCTAGATGTGCCCGCAGAGGCGCCGGTCTCCCGTTCCGACAGTGCAGCATTGTGTGCGTATTGCTTATACTTGTGTTGCTGAGGACTCTGAACACGTCTCTGTGTCCCCCTTTCCCTCAGTGCCCAGCTAGTCACCTCTTCCACCTTTGAAGTTTTTTTCCTTTTTGCTTTTTTTAATTGTGATTTGAGGGAAAATTTACAAAGTAAGTGAATTTTTCATTCAACCATTCATACCAGTTTTGCTCTATACGGGTTTTAGTTTCAGTACCCATAGTGAAATTTTAACTTTTCTCACTTTTCCTTGTAATTCCAAATATTGTGGGTCTTCATGTCCTTTATTTATAACATAGTGCTAATCATTCCCCTCATGTATATTTCCCTTCCTTTATCTATCTTGATAAAGAACTGGTACTTATTTACTAAATGTTACTTTCTTCTCCCTCCCTCCTGTTTCCTGGTGGCCACATAAGGATAAAAATGTTTCAAATTTCTTTAGCTTTTCTGATAGTGATCTTATGCAGTGTTTGTCCTTTGTGACTTTTTCATTCATTATACTGCCCTCTAGAATCGTTCATGCTGTATTATGTTTGTCTTTATGTTGTAGTGCTTTGTGGTATACCATTGCCATGTGTGAGTGTCTAGTTTCTTTATGTATTTGTGTCTTAATAGGCACTTGGATTGTTTCCGTCTGTTTAATATTGTAAATATTACTGCAGTTACCATAACATAGTATGTGTATGTTACTATGCTTATTTTTCTGGGATAGATACCTAATAGTGGGATTGCAGGTTGTTATTAGGTGCTTTTGCATCGAGTATGACCCATAGCGACTCTAGGAACAACAAATCGGAGCCCTGTCCTATCCTGCGCCATGCTCACATTTCCTGACACACTAGAGTCCATTGACCATGTCAGTCCACCTGGTTGAGGGTCATCTTCTTTGCTGATTCACTTCCTTTCCAAGCATCACGTTCCTTTCCAAGGAATAACCCCTCTTAGCATCATGCCCCAAGTATGTTAGGCGAAGCTTTATCATCTTTGCAGCACTCTGGCTGCACTTTCTAGAATTTGTTTGTTCTTTTGTCAGTCTCTGGGATATTCGTTACTCTTCTCCAGCACCACAGCTCAAAGGCATCACTTCTTCTGTCATCCTATTCATTTTCTAGCTCTCAGATGCATAGTAAATGATGAGAAAGGCTGTGGCCTGAATCAGACACGTTTTCGTCCTCACACTGACATCCTTACTCCTCAGTACTTTGGAGAGGTCCTTAACTGCAGCCTTTCCCAGTGCAGTTGTTGCTTTTCATTGAATTGTCTGCGACTCATAGTGACCCTTTGTACAGCCGCTCTGAATGCTGTTTTGAGCCAGTCTCACTAATTATGACACACCAACCCGCATTGCTTCAGTTATTATATTCATCTCATCTGGGGTCTTCCCCTCCTGTTCTGTCCGTCCACTTCTCCGAGATGATGTCCTTCTCTAAGGACCAGTCCCTCCTGGCCACGTGCCAAATGTGTGTGAGACACAGCTTCAAAATCCTAGCCTTCAAGAGGAGACTTGGTTTTTCCCCCTCTCAAAGACAGACTTGTTTTCTTTGCAGTCCAAGGTATGTCCAAGATGCTTCAGCACCACAGCTCGAAGGCATCGATTCTTCTTCTGTCATTCTTACACTCGTACCAAGGGTGTTGATTGTGGATCCAAGTGAGATAAAATTGTTGACAGTTTCGATCTTTTCTCCATCTATTATGGTGAGAATTTTTGTTTTCTTGACGTTCAATTGCAATCCATATTGAATACTTGTAGTCTTTTTAATTTTTATTTTATTAATTTTAATGAACATTTACAGAGATTTTGGATTTCGATTCATTCATTGTTGCACTTTTCTCCCTGGCCAACCCTCCCCCCCACACACTTGTAGTATTTGAACTTCTGAAACGAGTGCTTCAAGTCCTCATTTTTAGCAAGCAAGGTTGTGTCATCTGCACAACACAGGTTACTGATGAGTCATCCTCTGATTCTGATGCCACATTCTTCTTCATAGAGTCCAGCTTTTTGAGTAATTTTCTCAGCATAGATATTAACTAAGTATGGGGAGAGAATACAACCCTGACACATTCCATTCTTAATTTTAAACCCTGTTGTATTCCCTTTGGAACACTCAATTGTACACATGGTAGGTACACAGCATCAACCAGTAACAGCAGTTTCCCTTGCTCTGTTCCCTGTGTCTGGAAAGATGGTATTTCTATTCCCAGATTTCTAAGCAAACACCAAACTGCTTTCCACAGTGTTTGCATCACTTTACACTCCTACCAGCAGTGTCAGAGTTCCAGTCTCTCCACACCCTTACCAGCACTGATTGTTTGCTTAATGAACTTTGCTATTGTCGCTGAGGTGAGATGCTATCTTATTGTTGTTTTGATT